TTTATGCATAATCCACGAGACTGGATTTTCCCAACTTTAAGCACTTGTTGATGCAAAGTACCAAATCCCCACACTGCGGCATTTGTGCGTTGGTGCATTTAATACCTTAAGCACAACATCATTCTAAATATGTAAGCCGTACTATTGTATCAAATTTAAGATGTCTGTTTACACGTTTGAGTAGTCGTATATTTAAGCCACATATGGCATTTTTCGCACTGTAAATGGCTATGAACCTCTGTAACCAATGGTTTACTAAAACCAGTCTGTCTATTTGCCTCACTGGGCATTTAAACATGGGGTCCTTATGTCTTCTTGTTTCGTACCTCTATTTTGGTAGCATTGCCATGTTTATGGCCTTTTAACTTTCCTACGCTTTTAAAATAAAAATATTATTATACCGACATGGTATATTGCGACTCCAGAAAAGATCCGGACGCTACAACTGACCCATTTGATGGGGTTACAATTTGCAGCCTATTTTTAACTGGGAATTATCCCCGCTTTAAAACCTGAACAATGGTCTTGTTTAAAATGTCTAAGTGACTGAAAAATGTTTTTGGATCGGTCATTTGACTGTTTTCCTGTTCTCGAATCAATGCGAAGTTTGTTTATGTCAGTTGTATAGATACGTATTTGGATCGCAAATGACGAGTAAATGTGCGGCTTGGAAAAGGTATCCCTCCCTTCTGTTAATAATAAATGAGGACATGAGTGTTTAACAAGCGAAACCCAACTTAACTATGCTCTGCAAAAGGGTACATGTCTAATGTGAGTTCACCTGAGAAAGGGCGATGTTATGTTACTCACAAGGTCAAAGTTACTTCGAGAAAATGGGCATGTGATATGCCGGATCAAGAAAATTGAGCAATCATAATTTACTTGGGGAATAACTCTCTTAAGTCATTGTGCCTTCCGAAATCACGTGTTTGCAGAAACGAAATAGGCAGTATCAGCACTATCACAATCAAATCAATGAAAGCATGGAGGGATTGGTAATGAGGTTCAACTCAGTTTATAGGGTCTAGAAGGGCATAAAAGAGAAAAGCTTCTTGTGCTTGAGGGCCGAAGCTATTGCAGTTAATTCAATGGTGATATAGCAACTATAAATGCAGGCATTAAGCATTGTTAACAGACCTAAGAGACCCCCAACAAAGCAAACTGAGAAACGTAAGGAAAAATATAACGTGAAAACACCTATAGTGACGTGGATGTGTAGGGTTTAAGCGACAGTTGCTTTGGTCAGCGATGGCCCTTGGCTGCTGCAGCCTCCTCAGCAGCCTCGCGCTTTTCGATCTTTTCGGGGAATTCGCCCGCCGTGGCGCCGATGTACGGCGCCTCGGCAGCGCTTAGACGCAGTGGGGCGTCGATCAGGTAAGTAAAGACGAGTGGAATAGAGCCTGTGATGTTCTGCTCCATTGGCACGGCATAGAGGTACAGCTTGTAGAAGGAACCACCCTTCGGTATTCGAATGAGCAAGTTGACCACCTGACTTGGTATATCTCTACTCAATGTACTGGACCTGTCTCCAGGTTGTGGTTCTTCGTCTTCGAGAGCATTTGCTTTCTGCAGCAGATAGCCCGTTACGTCCTACAATGCAGTGTCATTTATGTTATTAACAGCATACAAGCAAAACAGCGTCCACTAAAAATAAGTATTTTATTTCAGTTTTTCAATAAATAGCAAAATTAGTGTTAATTTCTTGCTGAGACAATTGTACATGCAAATTTCGTCTCAGAAGTAGTTATATTTCCATCACTAAAACATTACTTGTTACAATTTTCATCCGTTAACGTGAATAATGTTCCAATAATCGTCAATTGAACAATTGAAATGGAATGTATTGTTTGTCAAAATACTAATGATAACATTTGCCTACAAAGATGTTACAACTTTCCACTTATTATATGATTGAGTGTTTTCAGCCTTGTGAATTTAAAGCTAGAATGATATGTCAAATTACCTCCTCTTCATCTCCAGAAATGTCCACAAGTTGGCTTATAAGGCAAACCTTCTGTTGTTCTGGCAATCCTAGTATGATTTGAAGATCACAGGCCTCCCTGTCTACTGGTCGGGAGCCTTGCTCTTCCTCAGGGTTCGTCTCTATCGGTTGTGAGGGTTCTTTACCCGGTTCAGTTGCCTCCGCCTGCTGCGAATGAATGCCCTGGGAGCCCATAAAACGCTGCAGAATCTGCGACTTGTTTTTTAGCCTCAGCAAGCGCTCTGAGCCTGTCCGTCCCGCCGTCCGCACTCGCACTAGTGGGTCAGGATGGCTGAGTGTGCGGAAACCAAGATTCTGCCATGTGTTGTCCTGTGGACCGAGATTTATTGTAGCCAAGCGGCTGAGAAGTGGGGCTGAGAGAGGTTTTCCCGCCTCTGCCTCAATGAGAAATTGCCAGGCCTAAAACAGAACGGTTGTTTGGTATACTGACCTTCCTGTTTTAGAAATAGCAAATTCCACTAAATTGGGTTTAATATCCTAACTAGACCGTAACCTTGGATTCCCTGTACCACGCTAACGACAGAGTAAACTGGCTGTGGAGTATTTATGTAATTAAGGGATCAAAGGAAGTGGGCAACAAATGAGTTTTCTTCAGACGTGACAACCTACAGAAGGCCCAATTAACCCACTAGATTGGTGTACTTCATTTAAGCGCATATCATTTGTTAGTGTTGCCAAAATAGATGTGGGTTTCTGAAAAATAATGAACCCTTAAATACTTTTAACTATATTTTGTTAAATATACGCTGGTATCGAAGGCAATCATATACGAAGAATGGCACAAATTAGACTAAGTATGCGTGTCATAGTGATTTCAGGTAAATGCCCGAAATTCGCACTTCAACAAAAATGGCATTTATTTGAAGTTATTTTTATTCTACGTATGATTAATCAATTTCGGTAAAGTGGGTAAACCATTTGGATAGAAATAACAGATATTGCATTTCACAAAAGCCAGCGTAGGATGAACGTCGAAATGAATTCGCTTAGGAACGGTAAATTGTAAGCAGAAACAAATGTTTTCGCCTGTAATTATGAGAAAGATCTGAACTTTACAGTAGCTGAAAATGCTACTTGTTAACTTTTGATTTAGATTAGAAAAACAGCAGGAGTTATGCTTATTGTAGGAAAGAATTATCAAAATCCTATCAAGTAATTACGAAGATATGACGCATGAAATTATTTACCCAAATTATCATTCCCAAAAATTTTCGGCTGTTGAAAGTCTGCTGATGGATTCAAGAATTCGCTACGCCAGCAAAAGAAACCGAAGCACTCCCTTCCATCAATTCCTGAATTAGCGTAAATGTGTGCGGAGATTAGGGGCAACAAGCAAGCATTTTCAGCTGTTTCGAAAATCAAATTAAATGCGCAGATTCCCATAAAGATCCTGGGTGTTCGCAATGAAAGTTAAACTCTGCATGTTGCTATCGCCATTATTTACAAGCAAAGTTATATGGAAAATTGCTTTCAAAATCAGTAGTTTTGAAATCACAGACTAGTACCATAAGAACAGAAACATAAAACATTTGTTGCATACAACACAAGCTATGAAAGTGAAACACCTAGAAAATAAGACAACTTTATATACCAGCAAATTTGCCGTTTGAAGAACCGTGGAAAGTAATACTGACAAACAAAAGTACAATAAGGACTTGTTTATTCATCAGTTGAGTCCATTAAAAGCTCGCAACTGAGATTTCGGAGTGAAAAAGTCACATAAATTACCGATTTATCCACGTTAGTGTTAGTTTTGGCACGGTCAATTGGACATTTGAATAGGTTGGCACTTCCTAATTACGATACATTATTGCCACTGATGGATGATTTTAATAATATAGCTTCAATGTATTGTTGCTAACAGACATACACGTTTTTTTCTACTTTGGGTGCAGTTTATTTTTCATACCTTTGTGGTTTGTAGTGTTAGAGCAATTTGATTTGTATTATCTTCAGAGGAATAAATAATCCAAGTCACGAGCCATCCTACGGGGTTTAATAAATGTAAATGCTAAATTACTGACTCAGGAGCAAGTTGCCGTATGTGCAATCTAACCTATGTTCATCAACGAAACAGTATGATTGAAATTCTCAAGTCTGCAGTCTTAAGCGCGCTTTCAATGAGTGAAGCTAAATATTTTAATGGCAATGTCACAAACCGTTTTTTCCTCAAACCCGCCACCGCATGTCATTATTACATTCATGTAAGTTCAGAAAAGGCGGCATTACTTGATACCATCGTATCGGCGCATTACACATCTCACGGGAATGGGAGGCGTTAGCAGTGGGGCTGATTTCCGAGTAATAGCATTTTACGCAAATGGCCTGCATACTTAAAGCTTTTATTTAGTCCGGACGTCACTCAGCTATCGAGCAAATTACGTAGTGTTACTATTTAACGCCTAACTTCTCCTTGATGGAGAAGCAGAGTAGGCAGCGAAAGGGGAGGAAGAAGGATACGGAAGCAGGGACGCACTAGGTGGTAGGCTGTGGGTTCGTCAGAGTCGGACGGTGCGGCGTACACTTCGAGGGCGTACTCGCCGGGCTCGGGTAGGTAGGCATTAAGGACTGACATAGGGACGCAGGGACCCGTTCCTGTGAGCACCGACACACCTGTCGTCGGCACAGACGCCTCAATGTCTCTCAGGAGAATGCAATTCTCTAGCAGCTCCGGTTTAACTGAAAGCGACTTTAGGCGAGCTGTAAGACGGGGTATGCGATTCTCCTGCAACATAAAAGTGTCTTCGAACTATATCATTTTGCATATAAATTATTTAAAGGATTAGAGAAACTGAAAGGGCGCTTAGAAGAAGCTTGGATTAGCAACGTATCTTTTTGCAAAAACAGTTGCCAAATGCTACTGGTTTTTTTTCTGATAAAATTAGATTCTCTCAATCCTTCATAATCGAGAAAATCAGGCTTACCACAGAGATGCGGCTGTTTTATTCCTAAAATTATTCAAATACACCTTAGCTTGGACACTTTCCCAACTTTGTATTTTGCATTTACTAAATAGGTAACAAAAAGCAGAAATCATTTAAAAAATTCTGAAATAAATATTGCATTGCAAGCACACTGCGGAGTTCCTTCAAAATAATGAATTAATACTCATAAAGTTAGCCTAAAGTGAGAAACGATCGAGAAATGGAACGTTGTTAGGCGATTTCATTGAAAATCGTGTTTTGGCAGGTTCGTCGTTACCAAAGTATCATTTCGATTGAATGTCGTTATAATTTAACCAACAGGTCAGAATGTTAGCCATCATTTTATATCATTAATGGCTGAAGAAACTTGGATGCCACGGTCTGTAGAAAAAGTGGTTCGCGCGTGTATTCAGAGGTAAAAATAGAACCCTACAAGGCCAAATCGATGGCTAGGCTTGCCGTGTCTTCCAATCCTCATACTGACAGTCGTTTCCCTCTCAGTCCCTCGCTCCTGCCCTGTACGGCGAGGTGAATTTGTAACAACCAGAAGTAGTTTCGCCTTATTCAGTAATCACTAACCATTTATTTAAGACTTTGCGTAAACGATTGAACAGAATTGACGCAAGAGATCATTCTAAGGAATTTGGAAATCTTTTTTTTGAGATTTTTATTTTCTAATAACTTCTTGGCCAGTTAAAAATTGTAATAACTGTCTCGTTTATTAAGTGGCAATGAGATGCCTCACTGCAAACATTCATGATAACTTGTCAAAAGGAATATGGCTAATAAAATTTGTGGAATGTAAAAGGTTTCGCAAATCACATTTAGTAAAATGCAGAAGACAGAAGTCCTATTAAATGGAGTGTTCCAGCTGATGACGCGAAAAAAGACAGCCGAAAAGCTTTGAATGATATGGAAGTAATTAAACAGGCTTCTCTTACAAACCTTCGATTTAACTATTTGTTCTGGTCAAGTAGAAGTTAGAGTTATAACATTGATTTTACTTATTTTTTCTGCGAATTCAGTGGTTTTTCGGTACTTCCTTTATGTTGGGGTGATTTTGGTGAGAGAACGACCGCAATGGAGGATAATTACGTGACTTACGATTTCAGCAGCAACGAAGCGTATTTCGACAGTTCCCTTGGGACTTTTAATGAGGGGAGGGAGTCCCCGCGGCAGTGTCTCAAGGCCGTACTCAGAGGCCTTCTCGGTAGGGCCGTAATTTGCCTGCGCGGTAGGCGGGAAGGGCAAGGCAGATAGAGAACCACCCTCCCCCTCCTTCCCCCTCGCTGTGACTCGATACTCGCAGACGTCAGAAAAGAGCTACAATGGGCAAACTCAATATCTCAAGTCTTGCATTTTACAACCAGTACCCACCGATTCTAATCCGCGAAAAGTTTTGACCTACACGAAAAATCGTAACCTTTTCCACTTGTAAATTACAATCGTCAAAATCGCACACGTTGCACCCCGCTTTGCGCTTCATAGTATCAATATAATACAGTTATTTGCTGAACCATTTAAAATGACATGACGAATTTCAACCAAAATCTAGTTGTTAATTGCTGGAAAAGTGTTATTAACAAAAATGACAAGTATTTTATCTGAAAACGTGAAATGGTGTAAAATAATCTGCTCTAAAATCAATGAGGAGGCAAGGTGGATAAACTTATTTTGAAAATTAGTTAGTGATAGTCACCCCGAGAAGTTCTTCAGGCTCCAAAACTGCAGCATTGTAATTACACAAAAACTGCGCATCTCATCGCTCCTGTAGCGTTGATCTAAGAGGAAGTTACTATATAATGACTGAAGTAGCTCAATGAAACGTATAAAGTCCGTACTGATTTGGAAACAGCCGTCCATTTTATGGTCTTGTACTTGAATTCAGGAAAACGTAGGTATTGATGTGTTTATTAGTCCACAGTGCGCAAGTGATATTTGCACTAATAAGAGATGTAAGCATTTTTATGTATCATATCGGATAATCCAAAAGTTATGCTCGTAAAAGCATGATTTCTTTCACTAATTCTATGCGCAATAATGTTTGTGGCCTCAATCAACGCCTTTTTTGAGACCTGGCTAGTTTGGCTGAGGCTTAGTTGCATCGGTGTCGCCCTTGATTCCAACCCTCTGATTTATGGCATTTGCTGAACGGACACCGGTTTGTATGCGTGTCTGTCGAGGTCGTAAGGTGTGATGAAATAAAAAATTCTGCTTGTGCGAAACGGATCCAGATATAACAAAACTGATGTAATGAATGCAGATAATTTCTGATCTCGCCTTTAGAATAGTTCATCGAAAAATGGTGGTTTATTTTGGCTATACTGATGAGAGTTAGCCTCCAAGTCAACACATTTCAACGAGTTCGCCCATTTTGCGCTGCTGACAATATAAATTCAAATGGCTGAGATTAAATAAAGCGTCAGCTCCTAAGTTATTTATTTAGGGGTTCAGAGAGCAGTTAGTAAATCAGTTAGGAAGGCTTCTCCTCAAGATTGGCCAGCAAATTTCTCAAGTTTTGTTAACTTTAAAGAAGACTAAATGCGTCCAGCAAGGTTGCCGATTATATCAGTCGCATTCTTTGCCTTCTGGTACCTTTTGAAAAGGAGAATATACATATTTAGTTGATTGTTGGTTCAAATAAAATGGAAAAAAGTGGAAATAAATAACAAATGCATCGCATCTGCAGAGTGTTGCAATCTTCAGACATAAATGACGGCTATTGTTATCAGTAGGTAAGGAAGCTAAGCAAGTTGGATTACTAACTTCGTTGCGACTGTTTTATTATTATTTACTTCATATAAATTTGACCCTGTTTTATCCAACGTCTAGTTGTATACATCTGCCTAATTTGATCTAAGTGCGAAAATCACAATATAGGTATAATGTAGGAACTATGAACTACAAAACCTGAATTTTGTCCCAATTTAAAGGGCTAAACTACGCTTTTGCTCTCAAAAGTTTCTAACAGGATCTCCTCCAAATGAGGTCATACACGCTGTTTCAGCAGAACCAGCGTCATAAATCCAATTTTATGCAGCTAGAATATGTGATGCCAGATGATGAAACATTCCAGCAATCCTTGTACTGTAAATTGTGGTTTTACATCCATCATCAGCTTAGATTTTCAAGTCATATTTAATTAGCTTTTCAGAATTGAGTTGAATTTACTCCATATTTTAGTAAACTAAATTCACCAGAATGACAAATATCACCAGGTTAGTCGTAACTGCAAAAAAATGGATACATGCCGATCAGCTGGACTTTTAGCAACTAATAGGACATACCTGTTCGCCGGAGTGTCTGGCGTAGATGACGAGGTTGTAGTCACCCTTCTTTGGTAGACGAAAGCGGAAAATTACGCATGATTCCTCTGGAGCTATTTCATGCATGCCAAATCGCGTCTTACTGGAGCCCTAAAATGAAATACTTATGCTCTAGGGAGCATATTGATAGACATGGACTGCTCAATTGTGTTGGGCTGACAAAATGTGGAATCATTTGGCCGACTATATTTAGCATTCAGAGTTTTAGAAAAATGTTCTCTCATTGAAATCATTTAAATTTTAAATTTTACCGTATGGAATCGAATTCTCTCGAAGGTGCTCCGTATATCATTACTCATTTAAGTTTGTTTCATTCCCTACTATGGGCATTGTGCTAACCGACCGGCAAAGCTTTTACGTAACTGTAAAGCCTAATTAAAACTTGGTTTTGAAATAAGTACCGTAGAAAATCCCACCACAAAGGCAAAAAGAACAAGTAGGAATTCTGTTATTAGAAAACTTTAACATTGTTTTTTAATTGCATCAAAAAGTTTGGCAACCAAAACAATATGCTGATTAAACATTACCACTTGCATTGATCTTCTTTATCTTCTATAATAGTGTTTATATTGTTTCTATTTTAAACGTTTTGAGCCACAATAAGTGTCACTTATTCCGGCACCAAACGTGAGATTCGTTCAGTTTCAGGAAGTATAGAGGGAAGACTATCTGTAGTTTCAGTTTACGTAAATATGAACTACATGAAGTTTCAATGGCTCTAGCACAGATGATTCTTCTTAATGGAACAAACTAAACTTCTTATGCTAACGTTAATGTTACTTTACGCGACACATCTATGAAAGAGTAAAATTTCTAAGTATCCATGCATCTAGCTGTCATGCCTCCTCATTGACTTCAACTCCAGCAGAGCCACCGAAAACATTTATGTTCTGAATAACAATTTCCTAATAATGGTATGCAACGCTCATGAGAAAATTAGGTGAAGAGCGAGAAACATCAGTCTCTATCGCAAACACCACAATTTAACACTGTGGATGGGAAAAATAGGCTTCACCTGAAGCTAAGACGATTAAAAACGATAATAATCATTTCAGCGAAATCTATAAGTACTACAAAGATCTCCTCATCAATCATTTTAAAATCATTTGAAAATAGTAAGAGAAGAGTGAAACAACGAATGTTTTTACAGAAGCACTGAAATCCCTACTTTGCTAATAAACTGCTACCTAAACATGAAAAGATCATGAGAAACCAAGAAAGTGATTTGCTACTACGTTTTAAGAATCCAATTGCTATAATGCATGTTTATAAGCGGCTCATATTAAGTAATATCTAGTGAAATTATACAATATTTCCAAGCACAGCAAACCTGACAATTTTGGGTAGGCAATTTACAAGCGAATATTTATCAAGAAAACAGGTGACACAACGACTTTGATGTTGCTGTCCAAAATTACTCCTTTTGAAAGGAGTTCAGATACGTTACGCTACACATTGACGAAATTAGCTCCAATTATACACCACCAGACAAATCTTGGGTAGCTTGGGAGGGAGATATTTTAATTAAAAACACTTTTATGGAGGGCAGAACCCCGCTTGCTTTCCCGTGGTGAAAGCAGTAAAAGTTTTTAAACTATATTTGATGAACATAAATTTAGGCATGAACACCTTATTGCAGGGCGGTAAAGTGAGCAAACTAACAAGATCATACTTTTGCATCCTTGACTTCGTTTATGGTAACACCACCATGGAATAATGGATTAGTTTTGCAGCAACTTCTTTTTGACAATCTTTGCCAATTTGCTCATCTCATAAGGGTTTTCAGTCGTTATATCTTCGAAAATACAACTTGAACAACTGGATCATGTGTTGCTTAAGCCAGTGCTTCCAACGCAGGTTGGTAGGTAAGTTTAATTTACCAGTTGAAATTATTGAAGTTAGCCACTTACCACATCAATATTTCCAAAGCCTTCGAGGTTAAGCTGATAGGTAAAGAGAAGCTTTGTGATGTTTTCAGGGAGGATTTTTAATTTCAAAACCAGTTGATTTTCGACCGCAACCACACCCTCTTGGTGAGAGAATAGATGAAGGCCATATTGAAAGAAAGCAGGTTTCAGCAGTGGCCACGTAGCAAAACTCTAATAACACAAACAGAAACGTTAAAACTAGTTTTAAGCATCTAAATGGAGTTATAACAGGTTTTTGATTTTTGTTTTGAAATAATGCTACTTCACTATCTTGAAATGGCAAGGGTTCTGAAATGTTACCAAAAATGCCGTCGAGTTCACAACCATGTGTGTGGCTTGGAGTCACTGTACCAATGCGCATGCCCAGGCAATATTACACCTCACTCTAATCTTATGGCTTTTATTAAATTAAATAATTTTATAAATTCAAGCATTGCTAAAGAGAACTAGTCTTAGTCTGCCAAATATTGCGGAATTACATTAGTTTTCGACAACAATTTAATAACTGTTATTTAGGGTGACATTGGCTGGGTTAAAATAACCGTCTAAAATAAGCGCATATGCATATAAATTCATCCTTTTCGAGAGACCAAAATCACGATTTACTATCATATTTTGTTAAATGCACGACATAATGACTGATTATAACTGATATTTTGTTGAGTTGTCTAAAATAAAATGCCACAAATATAGCGTGAAGGAAGAAAATAAATTCATTATTTTATTCCGTTTGCAGAGGCTTTTATATCGTTATTTGATAAATAGTGACCAGCTACTCCTTGTCATCTTCGGAAACTTACATGGTCGAGTGTTAGGTTCGAGAATCTAATTTGCTTCATAATATTTCTAACGGGCCGGCAATGTTTTGTAGTTTGAAGCGGACGTTTGATCTGGTACTCAAATCCCTAATATGTGAATGGTGGAAGAAGGGGATGGCATTACCACGATGGAGACGGGGGGGTCAATGAGTTGCCAGACATCCTCGAAGGGGTAGTGAGTGTAGATGAGTTTGGTAGGATCGACCTGATAGTAGAACATGTCGGTCTCGTACTGTAGCGTGACGGCCTGGGAGGACTTGGGGAGACCCTCCCGCGTCCCCATGGCGAGACGCTGGGCGGCCCAGGTGCAGTCGTAGAGGCGCCACAGACCATCCACGTAGGCCGCATTCCATGAGTGCTGCAGACTTGCTATCTGGGCAGGTAACGCGCCCGTCTCCGGGTGGAATAGAGGCTCCTCCTTCTGTACTAGTGGTTGGCCCACCTTATAGTCCATGCTCTTCGCTATTCCACGCACCGTCACGCAGGGAATGCCTGAGTATCTCAACATTGACTCAAATGCCTGCCCAATTGAGGGATACACATTATCGCTCGACTCGATCTCACACATTTTATTGTTCTCTTAGCGGTGCTCAAGTGAATTTACAGGCTTTTAAAAAAATCCGTTGCGACTGTGACAAACTACAAAAGCCTTAAAATTTTGGGATATTTACAAATTTTGTTCAAAATTCCCACTAATCCCGGTGTGGTTCATTCAGTGTAATTGAAAAGTAAATAAGTTACAGGTGAAGTACTAATTTGTGGTCTAAACGGTTCAGTAACTAATTAGATCAACCGGAAAGTACGTGATCTTGTCTATTTGATAAATAGACGCTACCCTTCTACGCTCCATGAACTTGTGTAAATCACACCCGCTAAAACCGTACCAATCTGCAATGGTCAGTCAGCAGTGGGAGATACGCTTGATGAAATACTTGTCTCAAAAGGATTTAAAAATTTACTTAGAATTTGTTTTTGAAATCACGTTTAATTATTAAAACAATTATTAGAATTGGGGCAAGCAATTATCTGCTAGTGTAAGTTCAAAACCACAAAATAAGGCCCCAAAATCCCGTGATAAAGAGCAAGTGTAAAACGTCAAACGAGTTCGCAGCTTCCGACTTTAGAGATTATAAGCGTTTTTCGATTGAATCTGCTAAAATGAGCAATTGTTACAGAAAAAGCAATTGACACTGCGGGGCACCTGCACGAGATGGTTTTATCTCAAGGTAATCTTAGATTGAATTACTATAAACCCTGTTATATTTTTGCTGCAATGGTACACATAAACCAGTGAATTGTTTAAAATTGTTTTTAATTTCAGTGGGGAATGTGTGGCACTTCCGTTTAATTATTTTACTGTCTCATTTAAAGTTCAAGCGGTGGTAACAAGAGCGAGTGCGGTTTGCTCACTCCTTGAACACATAAAGTGCTATCTGGCTTTACTAATCACATTTGAGCAATGAGCTAGACCTGCTTTGGCTCCCTGCTTCTTTAAAAGAACCATCCTATTTCGCAACTTAATTGCAGTACGGTGATTTTGTCATGGACAAAATATGTTTGCCTATATTTTACCAAGTTTATGGAACAATATATGCCTCGCAGAAGGATCTTTCGATTTTCGCCGATATTATACAAGGTGTTCAGCCATAAAATCAATGCAATGACACGATGTAACCCATTTTACTTCACCAAAATCTGATTTTGTACTCTACTCTTGACAGTTGAGGATTGTAAAAAAAGATGTTGCTTTTAAGACTACAACAAACATTTGCTAATCAATACGAAACTGGTATTGGTGTAGCGTGCCCTTACCGCTGTTTTACAAGTCTCACATATTTAATAACACTTTCTATGCGAAATCCTAGAAGATTTGGCATAATTTACATGCCAAAATTTATCATTTTCAAGCATTTGGGATGCATAATTTTGCTTGGTTTAGTGAACAGAAATTGTGATATCGTGTAAGAATTAGCCTTTTTATCTGCACAGCCCAAATTCCTTTACAAAGACGCACTTTCACAGAAAAGGTTCTGATAAGTTGCCTGCAAACTCAATACCAAAACCCTTCATGACTTGTGACCAAGATATAGTGGGCGTTTACGAATGTGATGCGAACGGGCCAGTATCTACCCTCGGGAGTGCCTCGTTGTCGAAGCCTTTTCATAATGTCGGCATGTACACGTGTGTGAAGCCGCGATCAACTGCTGCCTGACTGTCCTGGTGGACACGGCCGGTTAAAGTCTGCCTCATATTCCTTCACTAGTCTATCAGCAGTGACACTACAAATCATACTATCTCATAAATGGTAGTTTATAAACTTGTATCATTCTTCTGCAGTTACATCTCGCGTGGTAAGACCGGTGTCAGATCAAGCGAAGATCGTGAAATCGAGTTTGAAGATCTCAATGGAAAGCCTCTAATGGATATAGATATATGTCATTTGTTATGCAGACCAAAATTCCTTAACAATCCCGCCAATAAGACAATAAAGGCATCCAAAATATACTAGTACGATGTACTTTGAGACGTGGGAATTGGTTCAATGCAATTTTATTCAGCTGAAGTCACCTAGCGAACGCCTTGTAGAGGTTTATCGTACTTTTTTTACTCATTTTACTTGAAGGAAATTCATTAATTGGACTGTTTTTTAGGTTTGCACTCTAATCCCAGTAAAATGGTGAAATATTTGAAAAAACCGAAAATCGAAATCTATGGTAGGTAACATGTTGATAAAGTCTTGTCTAGCAATAACATTTTTAGCAAAATCACGTATTTTTTAATCCAAAGCTTTCAGCAATTACTGCGAATTTTATTGAAATTGGGAGACAGATTTCGACAAAACTTGCTTCACTGATTTAATGGGGGTTTTGGAAAATGCACTTTGTTCCATGCTTAGTTAAGTGAATTCACTGAGTTGCCTAGGTAACGCGTATCAGCTGCAACAAATGCTACCTTACTGCACAATGGAAACAGTCAAGACCTCACTGTTGCGTCCGCGTGATTGTGCATGTCGACAAGCGATTGGATTGTGCTGTTTTCCTTAGGCAAGTAAATGCACTACTAGCGCGTAGATGGGGCAGCAGACAACTTTGCAATAGTTGCTTACTTCTTCAAATCGGATACTCTGTGTCCTAATAATTGCCTAATAATCACTCCTGCCGGTTGAAGGCCTATTGGTGAACATTTACTTAAACATCCAAAAATATTATATGATTAATAAGATGCATGTTTTAGTTTTATCCAAGAATTCCACCTTCGATGAAAAGGGGGAGCTTAAAACAAAATACGATTATTCTTTTAAGAATTTAAGAAGCTTAGCTGGCGATTCTGTCTATTGCTGAATTCCTTTACAATAATTTTTCCCTTAGCACTCATGCTAAGTAGGAGATTACTCAATTGTTCAGAAAGATTCTTGGAAGAATGTGCAGTGCAGCATTTTATACCACGATTAATCAGAGAGATTAATGAAAGTTAAGAGTGATTTACACTTAAAGTCAAGTTCGTCATAGTGGTTTTCTTTGGCTGAATTTGATTTTCTCACGCTACAATTTCGTCAGTGATTCAATAATTTACTGTAAAACTGAAATCATTGGAATTTCGCGGTCCTTGCGCTTTATTTCCTCCTCAGTTTTCTAGAACTCTAATGAATCTGCCATTGCTTCATATAACTGACTGCCTAGTTTCATTGCATCTAAATGTGTAATCCTTTGCATGATTTTAGCTCGTAGTGTTTATTTTCTGTTTTCCATGAAACCTGGTGGCACGCTTGTTTAAGTTTTAGTTCACAGAAAGTTCGACTTAAAGTGAGATTCCCGTCAAATCTGGATGCACGGCATTTTTATGACATACCATCAGCGTGTGAATCACTCAAAGAGGAGGCTCATAATAATAAACGTGTTTGTGATTTTACTACACCTTCCATTAAAATCGATTCCACGTTAAACATCAGCGGCACTTGATAGTCTAAAGAGATGGCATGTTTTGTGATACAGTGTTATGAGCCCCCCATATTATCCACTGAAATCAAAAAGTATAAGGTCGGCCAAGTGTCACGGAAATTCTCTGCTCCCTCATAAGTGGCGATACACATTATTTAGTCGCTTTAAAAGTTCTCTCATGCATTGGACAGTAATTTTCTCCTCTTATCAGGAACCTAATAAACACTACTGAAATACAACTTATTTTACAGAAAAGTAGGCGGATATGGTTCATTAATGTCCCAATTTATTAGAGCCTGATCATAAACTAAATGCCAAAAAAGTATCAGAATAAATGCTCATTTAAATTGTTGGGATATTACTCATTGCTATGGTAGATAGTACTCTGAGGCAGATCTTTGTTATAATCTAAGTTTTTGGAGGATGTGTTAAAATTACGCCAAAAATCATAAAATACTTTTGGAGTTTACGAAATGGGATGAAAAAGCGTAAACGTTCAATTCCTTCCTAAAGGGACACGCATAACAATTAATGGCACTTTTTCCTTCCAAAAATGCATAGTTTCGTTGTTAGACTAGACTATAAAATCCCGTTATTTGATCGACATTTCGTAGCACAATTATCCTCACCTAATGCAGACCATTTCGCTCCTCACTTAAGATGTAAAATGCTCCCTAAATGACATGGCATTCATAAACATATTTATCTTAAAATGATTTGACTGATGAGACAAACTGTTTATAAGCGCACTGATCATTTTACGTCATAATGCAACACCAAATATAACTTGCTTGGACGTAGTTAGCCTTTCCCTTCACGAGTCTGGGAAGAACCACGTCTGGTGAGTCAATTTGGTGTTTCCCCTTGCCCTTCACTTTGTGGGCGTCGTCTTCCTCGACCTCCGAGGGAAAGGGCTGCATATCGGGTGACGTGGAACAGATCCATGTGAAGAGCGCTCGTACCTTCTCCTCGTCGGTCTTGAAGCCACGACTATAAACGAGGTGCCAATAGAGATCACGCCAGCAGGCTGGCTTGGCCTTGCCCTGCGCCAACCGCCGCGCCTCCCCATCCACTGGCTGCTCCTTGTGGACGCGATCAGCGCTATTCACCATCTCATTGCCAGGTCGCTTGGAGATAGCGGTCACTTCGGGATTGGCCTGAATGTGTGTACCGTCCTTGGCTTTCTTGCACGCCGGAATGGTAGAAGGGAGGCTGAAGCTGCTCGGTGCCGGCTCCAGAAAGATCACCTTCTCTGAAACCGCGGACTCCTGCTGATTGGCTGATTCGGCATTGATTTGATCACCTGCCACACGCAATCTTTATAAGTCGTACATAACAACTATAATTTCACCTTTATTACACTGACTTGTAAATCCCTCTACAGAGAACTTATGGTTCATGAGTAGTTAGAAATTCCAACATTTATTTCCAGGTTCACAGAGAAGGTAATTTTAAAAACGTATGCAAAATTTTTCGAAACAATAAAAGAGTGGTCTTTATATTAAATCAAGTTTTGGAATTATAATACTTACTCACCTGTGCTAAACAGATTTAGATGCATTTGAAAATGAAGTATTTAGCGAAATCTTATTAAAATACTACAAACTCAACTGCACTTTGATGATAGAAATAGGTAAGATTTTCATAAGTAAGCAAGTAAGATATGAATATATTAGTAGCTCAGTATCAACATAAAATCCACTAATTTACCTCCAGTCGCAACCATTTGGCATTTTGGCTTTTTGCTCTTCTTCTCTACTCCTTCAATCTGAAAAATGGAGTTTACTGAATGTAATTTTAAATCAAATTTCCGCATCCTATTGCTGAAGACTTGTTCTAATGGACTCAGTAAACCACTTTATAATGGTCCCACGTTGACTCTTTGAAATTAGCAAAACATTTTTTTTTCGTTTTATTCCTCACTTTTATAAAATGCACGGCAATTTTCAGCAGTTGTATAGACACCAAAACAGATACTTCCTCATGGTATTGGTTTGGTGTGGAAGACTCAAAATGCAAGACAAAAGGGCAACTTTCATGGTTGATGATATTAATGGACGCATCTATTTAGTGCACGGCCATATAGAATACGAGAATAGTAGTGGTTGTTTATAATGATTTTTTCGACTACCTGAGTTATTTTAATGGAAACCTCCAGACATGCATAAGCGGATAGAAGTGACAACAAGTGCATTCCTCTGATACGTCAAATAATGATATGCAACAATGGCATTGCTACATTCATTCTTGAAAACTAATACCACATTGTGCCAGGAGTACACACTCGCAGTTACGCCTAGGTCCTCTTCACCTCAGCATGCCCATACTGACATTGCACCAGTTACGGGACAATCCAATTCACGCGCCTTCTAATCGATTTTCTATATAAATAAATAAATAAATGAGGAAGGAAGGAATGGAATAACCACCCGACACTCGAGACTCAGCATTAGTAAATGCCCGTCTCAAACAATGCGCACGGTTGCACTTATGGTCAATCTTTGATAAGACGACATAATGCAGAGCCGCAGGGGTTTGCTACTAGTTGCTAAAATTTAGGCTGTTCCAATAAGTGGAGCATGCTTATGATTAAAATGAGGCATTTCTGAAATCACGCCTCTTTCAAGCGACCGCTGGAAAAACCTTACAATCGTTTAATGAGGATTAACCAGTAGTTTTTACAGGTTATTTTGATGGAATATTTCGATTCAGGTTTTGCCAGTTCGGCCGACCACACAAATTGGGTAAATAATATTTGGGGGCAAAGCGAATTTTCTTAACCTAGTAAGGGTGTACATTGAATAACCTTTTTTATTAATGCGAGAGCCATCTTTACCACTTTGACAAACGGAAACCCTGGTAATCTTTTGTTTTTAAGAAAGCATGTGAATTATAATGGCATCTGGACTGTTTTAAATGGTGGTTAGTTGTTACACTAATTTAATCACTGGCTCTTAATCGTTGCTGAATAAATAAAAATATTATGTATGGGCATCACTAATAATGTATTTAGCAAATATGCCCCAAATTCTCTCCATCTGGTCCAAAAGTACTAATTACGCAGCATCAATAATCATTCATAATGCACAGATCACTTGTATTTCTAGTTTTCGGGAGCAAATATTAAATGGAATCCACTATTTACAGTAGTCAGAGCCGCATAAAATTACCCAAGCATTATGAAGATGCGTTGAAAGATGCATAAAACTTAGCTTTCCTTATTTGAATGCATAGGATTATGATGATATGATAATCAAGCTTGCTAGTTTTCTATTTTTCATTTAAAGAATGGTTTTAAATGAAAATAAATTTCCACGAAACTCTACAATCACTTCATATGTTCAAGTTCTTATTAAACGTACTCTAAGAAAATGGCATCGAACGTTTGCATTAGCACCGAATTGGATCGAATTTCCTGGTCTTTTGTGAAAACTCGTTACAATGGAAAAGACGAATGACGGGGAAAAATGCTTTTTTATTTCATTATTTTTGTTATTATGGTGTTAGTGTGTTGTCGCATTTGTTTCACCTCCCCAAATATGGCTTCCGAATTTCGTGACAGTGGATAAGTCACAATTTTTCGCTATTACAGACCTTAATGTAAGGACTTATATTCCACTTTTCACTGTTGTATTTCTTCTATCAAGTCCTTTGCATACATGCGCTTAATCTAAAGGCATGAGTTAATAACTTAAAACATGAAAATTGAAAACAAGTCTCCTGTGGTGGCTGTTATCATCGGAAAACACAGGTCTGCATGCTTTTAAAGTTAGGGGTATATTTACCATATTTACTCTAGCATCTATACTATTAGTGCGCTTAAAATTAAGTCTCGAATCGAATAAATTAAATTGCCAAGTTCAAATTATGGACCGGTAACGAATAGACCTACCGGCTGATTTCTACTGACGCATGAAAGCTTCTGACCCATTATCTCCCAAATGGTCAACTGTAGGGAATTGTATCACGAGCAGGTAGGTGAAATGAATCCAAATAGTTTAGTTAGTTCTCTTTACCGCTTATAACAGTGTCATCAAATGCCGTTCCGTGAAGATTTTACACGACACGTGCATGCGCTAGGCGTAGTAAGGCTCGCAGTTTGTCGTTTGACATGACCAATAAAATCTTTTAATAATCAGAGCTCCTATTGGAGGAAGAAGGGCCAATCAAGTAAGTCGATCTCGTCTCACTGCCCTCTTTTTTGTCCTGTGCGATCAATATTGTGTCAAAGATGTGTATAAAAACTCATCTGACTTGATCAACGCCTGCATAAAGTGGCAGTTTTTGTAGGTAATGAAACGCATACACGCACAAAACTACTAAGGATGGTCCGCATAATCTTTTAATATAAAATTTTGAGTGAATTAGTACATTTAGACATGATTTTAATTGTGCTATTTTCCGATTCCAAGTTGTATGGCTAATTAGTTCTGTTACTAAAATGACTCATTTTTTTGTGTTCTTATTATGGGTCTGTATCTTTACCCTACGATAAATTAAAATTGCTGTGGCCAAAAAACCATGATTAAAATACCTTATTTTCTATTGATTCTTAAAAAAGCTTTACCTTGTTATCAATAAATAGGCCTAACCTTTAAGGTGACATCCTTCATTTGATTGTGAAGAATACGGGTGTATTGAACTGAATCTGAATGCATTTTTATGCAGCTTTTTTATCATAGCCCCAAAAGCAGGTAAAATCCCACTGTTTAGTTAATGAACAATGTATTTACCCAACCGTCAAGAGCCTTTTTAACCATGCATTTATTATACATAATTATTGCTGTTTGACTTAATAAACATAAGGAAGTTTCAAATTGAAGGTAAAGAAGTAACTGCACAATCTCAGCCATCTATGGCGGAAATACGGTTTTAACTTGTATAAACTTTTGCTGCAGCATTTAAAGTACCTAAAATTCCCATTTCAATGACTTGCAAATGGTGTTCCTGATAAGTAAAGTGGAACTGAAGTGCTTGTTAAAATTCATAATTCGCGGGTTCGGTGATGCATTATTCTTAATGTTAGCGCCGAATCCTCTCTTGCACATAAAACAAAACCTAAAATATTCATGTTTTTCTACAAAGTCCATCCATTCTAGCGATTGTAGAATATAACTCGGCCTGAATGCAATCCTCTTGTATTATTTTTGCGTATTCCATACAGTTGCATAAAATGTCGATAAGGTACAGACACAGTCGTCTGACTACCATAAGTAGGGAGCTGGCTGAATTAGCATATACTACGATCTGAGGAGCGTGTCCACCTTCACAGACTCAAATATACTGCACACTTGTAAGCCAAATATCGGTTGTCAATTTCTTCTGAACCAAATTCCCTTTACCTGACATCAGTATTTCTGGAATGCATGCATCTAAAGGCGCATAGATGCATCCCTCTAAAAAATCAGTTTGAAATAGGCAAATGCGTCAAGCGCGGCGATGTACGTTAGTGGTATTACAAACTTGCAATAGCACATCGGTCACAGGCAAACTTACTGCAGCTAAATAGCATTTTAAGAATTAAAATTTCTGCCAATCAGTTTTTTAATAATCCACGAGCACTAAACGGCTTCCCTCGAGTGAAGTTATTCTTCCACATACCAAATTATCCGCACGTGAAACCAAAAAAACGCTCCTTGAATTGATAGTATTCTCGCTATATTTGAGTTTGCCAAAGTAAATTAATCGGGGTAATGAAATATATTTCTCTTAGCTTCAATAAACTATCCCCGGATTTCCATGTGTCCAAGGCAAGATCTTCTGTGGGTTTGTACTTCAACCTAAAAAGCACAATGATCTTCAATTAATCCCACAAACTTCATGTTTTTCGATTATATGTACCAAAAACTGCCCAATTAGTTCAATGATTCGAGATGGTTTCATAGTTATTGGGTGGGGTCCAATTGCAACGCCATAAATCTCAACGGTAAAAGTACCTATCAATAAGGAAAACCAGTGCATAAGGTCATAAAAACGGGATTTCTTACTGGTAAAGTTAAAGAAAGTGCCCTAGCTTTGGTCTTTACTATGTATAACCTCTGGTTACATGATCTTTAGAATTGGTTTTATACGAAATTCACCTGTTTCACAAAACTTTAGGGTGCGGCTCACATAGCTGTCGGTTAGATCCTCCTCATCAACAAACGAGTCGGTGCTGCTGAGGGACGGTGGGCCCGGCTCGCCCGGTACGTCAGAGGTCCTCCTTGTCTTAGTATCAAATTAGATTACTCGAGCATACAATCGCATGATGCATTATAACTTTCTGTTTTTTTAGATACTGGGCTCGCGCTTAAAACACCATTGTCTCAATAGCTTTGCGTGACACCCATGATTATCATAAAGTCACCTACCTTCGTAAATATATCAGTATCTCGATATTTCCTCCACATAACAAATGGCAAAAATCGAGGAAAACTCATTGTCTCAATCACGATTATACCCTCTGTCGGGCTCACAATGCCACATTCCGTCTCGTTTTGAAAACAGTGACCTTGCAGCGTCCCATCCACTAGAGACTACGCGGGTCATAGTTGATGTGCATACTTTGACCATTCAAAACGCCCCATATATTGCTCAATGCAGAAGGGACATTGATGAAACTTCTTTCTTCGAAAAACGTCAATTCCTGCTTGTAAAGTGGTGTCAGCTGGCTCAACAAGTGAGGATTATGCAGCTTTTCCTTGCTAGTCATTGATACCATTTGCATGATTATATAAAAGTTACGTAGATTTGAATGGGTTTCTTCCAAATAGCTGCAATCGATACCTCCCAGGGATCCGTGGAAATAAGTGTATAGTGAGTTGCAAGCAACCCAACTCGCTTGGAATCCTTTCCACCAAAATACTGGCAGAGCATTCCCCCCATCCACCGTCCTAAATTCAACTATTTTATCGCAAAATACCTCCATTCTTTCAAAGCAGTAGTTGAGTTTAATTGAACCGCCTCTATAAGCTATGGTTGATGAAATTCTTAATGAGATGTAAAGAGACCCTAGCTTGCTGAGGTTAAGAGCCATTCTGGAAGCTCTTGTACCTAAAAACGAACGAACGAACGAACTCAAGTGCTCAATTCGTTGTAACTTATGCCTTTATTAAACGACTTTCCTTCAGAAACTAAGCCAAAAAGGAATACCGACGAACTACAAAACTGCAGATTTACTGCCCATGATTCTATTTCCACAAAACATCTACGAAAATCGAACTCTGACCACCTCTAAAAAGGCGCTACTGTTAATAAAACAGGACGTTAATGAAGGCGTCATCCCCCACGCGCACGGGATTCGTCTTTCATGAGACTGCACCAGAAACAACACACGAGCATGTGATATTCATCATATTTGCGTTTTCTATGTAGTTGCGGCTGCATCACCAAACAAAAACAAAAGAGAACTCAAATGGTTTTCTTCTTAAAATATGGAGAGGTATACTAAGGCAGTGGTAAACACTGCATAGTTATTACTGCATAAAGGAGGAGCCGACCGATATTTGACTAATTTCTAGTTGTTTTAACGCATATAAGATCAAAAACAGATTACCGAAAGGGTGGTTGGGGAACGAAGGCCACACAAGTGCAAGTTAAGAGACGCCACCAAAACGGAGATCCGTAAAGTAAGAACAAAACCCGTAAAAATGTTAACGAAATAGTGGCTACAGATACTGACCGTATGAAGAAGTAGAAACCCTATCTACAAATGCAGAAAACCCCACCGCCTAAGGGCGCTACGACTGGCAGAGGCGAAGCAACTACAAATACCACAAGGCAGTAAAACAATTTCACTTAAAAAACATCACTCCAATCACATTTTAATTGGTTTTCATAAGAAAATTTGTTACCTGCAATATCTGTTAAAAATAAAATTAATGCGCACTACTAAGATCTTGTTATCTTAAGCAAAGCGTCTATTCAGAAGTAAATAGCTTGCATCAGATTTGTACATACCTAAGTGTTTAGACGAAATCATGAAGTCATTGCATCAAAAAGCAGATTTCTCAGGCAATTTGCATTCCCAAAAGTTCAACAGCAAATTAAATTGCATTAACGACTGTACAAAAGCAAAACTTTTAGCAAACTCATTGCGGTCCAAAAATTCTCCATTAGAAATCCTTGAATCAAATTGTATGGCAATGCACCTAATAAAAGGCGCCATTATTATTACAGAATGGCATTAGTACTTATCTCTATGTGGTACGCCCCCGTTTATTTCCTCTTCCCCAGCCTTCATGCTCTTTGAAAGAAGAGGTTGATTTGATTGGGACATGTTTATTGTTTGGAGTCAATGGAAGCAGGTACGGGTCTAGCAGGACCAGGACATTAAGCTCTTTGCCTCGGGAGGTTCTGACCCCTCCACAATCACGAGGTTCGAGCCTACTACTGCTTCCTCCATAAAGAATATACTTAAGCAACCTAAGTGTTACCTAAGCATCAAAAGTTTGCTAAGACGGGAAAAGCAGGAATCCTAATTGGGCACTGTAATTTACGGAAATATGATAATATATATGAACATACGCGATACATAGTCCTATGTAATACGATGGCGGTTTATCCCTTGGTATTGTTAAGGCGCTACTTTTGGACTTTGTATTAGCCTCCTTGTACATCGCTGGGTGGGCTGGCCTTCGGGCCATGTCAGCAGCCCAAACGCCTTCTCTGTGCTGAATATATACCTATTCTGCTAGAGCATTGTCTTCTATCGTCTTCAGGGAAAGACTCTGGACGCTACACCTGTCTATGTTACATGTGACATCTACCTAACATATAAACAAAATTAGTTTAAATCTTAGCAAATTTTTTAAAGGTTTTTATTCTTAAACGCATATTTAATTCCTTTACTCCTTTAGATGATAAATCTTTCCCGATACATACAATTTTTAAATACTGGCAACAACCCAGCTCTTACGAATCTTAAAAGTGATTTTAGATGACAAAAAGTTTTTTTGTTATTAGTTTACTCTATCAGTTGTTTGTTTGTTACTTTAGATTGCATTCCATAAAATAGTTAATAGCGCGCTTTGCGTATCCGAACATGGCGGCGCCAGCGCCTGTGCTTAAATGGAAAAAAGTGACAACGGCTTCGGGCAATGTTCCGCGTTCTCGTCACGGTCACAAAGCAGTTGCGCTCAAGGACCTCATTGTTATTTTTGGTGGTGGAAATGAGGGAATCGTTGATGAACTCCACGTTTTCAACACATGTATGTTCAAAGAAGGTACAAATTACTTTTTAGCACTTAATCAATGGTTTTTGCCGGCGGTACGAGGCGATATTCCACCGGGATGTGCTGCTTTTGGGATGATATCGGAGAATACACGTGTCTTGCTATTCGGCGGCATGTTAGAATACGGGAAGTATTCCAACGAGCTTTACGAGCTGCAGGCGTCCAAGTGGGAGTGGAAGCGCCTTAAACCTAAGCCTCCTAGGAATGGACCTTTGCCTTGCCCGCGAATAGGTAATGGCAGTTACTAAAGATTTTGTGGAAAACTAATGTTTGATAACAGTCATTGTAAAAATATTTTCAGGATGTTTTTAGTACTCTAAGTACCATTAGTTTTGGCATTGTTGAGAACCTCTGTAGTCTCTTTTACCACTTTGTAAATACCATGCTTTAAGGTCATAGTTTTACACTCGTGGGTCAGCGTGCTTTCCTTTTCGGTGGAATCACGAATGATAGCGAAGATCCGAAAAACAACATCCCAAGGTTAGTCTGTGTGTTCATAAGAAATTGTATTTGAATTCTGTTCTCAACTCCCTTACCTTTTCCAGGTATCTTAACGATCTATATACGCTAGAACTTCGGCCTAATTCCTCAGCCATGTGCTGGGATATTCCAATTACTTACGGTCAGCCACCTTCGCCTCGAGAATCTCATACCGCTGTTGCATATCAGGTTATGGATGGGTTAATTAAAAAATGGCGTCTTTTGGTGTATGGTGGCATGACGGGATGTCGCCTCGGTGATCTTTGGCAACTAGAAATTGACACAATGACATGGACAAAACCCTCTATTTCGGGCGATCTCCCTGCTCCTCGCAGTCTGCACAGTGCTACAGTGATTGGTAATCGGTAGGCTGGAATATTGTTCTGTGATATCGCTTAAATGCACCTATTTACTTTCAGTATGTTTGTATTCGGTGGATGGGTACCTCTGGTTATGGATGATATGAAAACAACTGTCGAAAAAGAATGGAAGTGTACGAACACACTTGCTAGCCTCAATCTCGATACAATGTCGTGGGAGTCGATCCAAATGGAAATCTTCGATGACAGTCTTGTTCCGCGTGCGCGAGCAGGTCATTGTGCAGTTGCCGTCAGCACACGTCTTTATATATGGTCTGGTCGTGACGGTTATAGGAAAGCTTGGAACAATCAGGTGTGCTTCAAGGATTTATGGTTTTTGGAGACGGATAAACCGCCCGCCCCAAGTCGAGTTCAGCTTGTCCGAGCCGGCACACAGAGTCTTGATGTCACGTGGGGTTCCGTACCGACAGCTGATGCCTACATACTTCAAATTCAGAAATATGATGTCTCAACACCCTCATCTACTCAAAGTCCCCCAGTGGGTTCCCGAATGAATCCTACTCTTGCGATTGATGCTCCTCAAGCCAAGTCTCCAGTCAGTGGAATGACATCATCAGGTGCAACGAGTCAAGTAGGTTTAGATTCCTTTTGCATTGGCTAGGTTACAAACACTGCAAATCAGTCGAACCTCTGTCAATCCACTGCATCATGTTTTTAGTAATTTTGAAGTATCGGTTGTATTTCATTGCTTATTATAGCGTTTTGCGACTCCGTCAACTGTCGCTGTTAGTGCTGCTTCCTTGCAAGCTTTAGCGAACGTAGCTACGGCCACGCCTGTGCGCGCGGTTTCTGCAATGGCTAGTCCCCAAACAGCATCTGTTGTCGGAGTTGCTGCTAGCCAACGGGTTCCAACAGTCGTTACCCCAACAGGACTCAAAATTACCCCCGTTCCCAGCAGTGCAGTAACTGGTCGTGCAGCGATCCTTGTTGCAGCTCAATCACAACAGCAACATCCTCAGTCAGCAGGCTTAATTCGAGCGGCAAACGTGGTTACGGCCCCAACAAAGCCACAAGTAATTTGTTCATTAATTGATAGTTTAATTCCTCAGTATGCTTTTGATGCTGAAAATGCTTTGGGGTATTCACATTTTGGTGTTTTACAGATAATCGCAGCGGGTACCGCAAAACAGATTGTTACGTCCAATGCCAGCGGTTCGAGTGGTATTACTTTGAGTTCGGTGACATCTAGTGCCACGCCTAGTGGTTCAGGATCGACCGGTCCTGTCGTACATCTCGTCAAGACCCCAACCGGATTGATTCGGCCCATAAAATTTCTATCTCCTGCAAATGCCGTCGGTCAACAACAGCATATTGGTGTTTCACCAAAGACTATTTCCATCCATGCACCCCAAGGTAGGTCTCATCTCGCACATCCATTGTACGAGTCAACTTATAGTTGCATCATAATGTATGAAAGTTATGTTTGGCTTACATTGTGCGTAGGTAGCAACCCCAAGGTGATTAAGACATTCCCCGCCAATGTGATTCAAAAATCGGGTGCCGGTAAGCCAATTTTCATCACAAGTGGGACGTCTGCACGTCCAGCTACACCAGCAGTAGACAACGCTTCGAGCAACTCCGTTTCTAGGCAACCACAAGTCGTCATTGTTGGATCGACCGGTGAGCTAAATGTCTACAAACGCATCCTACGTGAATTAATTGTAGGAGTTTATCAGCATCATCGACAGCTCTAGTCTTCAAAGTGAGACTGATTTTATTACAGAATGATGTCTACCTTTGCTAGGTAACATGGTTAATACTGGGCAAGGTAATGTTTGTGCCGCTCCGGCCCGACCTTTGACCAAAACTTCGAGTTCTTCAACCCTTGGTAATGATCAGGATGGAGGACAAGTAGATTCAAGCAAAGCTCTTGCTCCTACTTTGCCTCAACTTGACGGAATGGTGGATGAGGCGGGTAATGAGTCTGATTCTGCATGTGGGGACTTTAAAGAACAATGGGCGGACCGTACTAAGGAGACTGAAGCCATTCAGGTGGCAGATTCGGATGTCAAGAAGTGCGATTTAACTAGCGTCACTGATGTATGTCCAAAAGTGGTTATAATTTTGTCAGTTTATGGTTGATTTGTGTCTGACGATTGGACTACAGATGTACCTTGATTGCGTCTTGATTATTACGTAGTTAATACAGATAGAAATTATGCGTTTGGGTGGAAGTACCGGTAGTCGCAATTTTAGAGGTTATCGTTTGATGAAAAGCTTTGAACCAATTGGATGCACGTATTCTACATGCTTTGCGCATCGTGGTTTCGTGTTCTCATCAGTTGTTGTCCGAACGAAATTCCCTTTTTAGGTGAGTGCTTTAGTGGATAACATGGCAGCTGAAGCAGCTGCCGAGTTATTGGCAGATGTTGAAAGTACTTCTGCTGACATACCCACTTCCGCATCAGGTGCTGATAGCAGCAAGCTTTCAGTTACCGTTGGAAACGCCTCCGAGTTATCTGATGCTGTTTTCCATTCTCGTAAGTTCTGATAATTGATTTTAAACAGATCACATTTTAAAGTTTGTGTAAGCTTCTTGACCCCTTGGGAGGCTCTCAGTCGCTTTTGATAACGAATGTAAGGTGTACGACATTATCCTTGTGAATTGGAGGTCATTTAAAGTTTGGGCATGTGCTATTTAGATTTTTTTTGGGGGGCTTAAGCAGGCTATCTCAAAAACACTAAGTGTGAAAAGGCTCACAGATTTAAAGTTTATCCAGAAGTTTTCAGTGACACGTAATCCATCTAGGTGCTTACAAGGCGTCTGTTTCCACTCCATTCAGGTCCCCAGGTGGGAAGTGGTGGCAGCGGGAACAACAAAACTGCATCAAAGACCAATGACCCGCTTGTGACTCTGGCATCTGTTGCAACTAATCGTGGGGATAATACCGAAGGTAGATGCATGCGACTACACCAAGCGGCTTTCGTTTGCACGCAGACTTATGTGTTATCACCTGATCCATTCTAATTTCTGTCTACATGCTTGAAGTTTGCCTAAAATTCAACTCGGTAAAATTCTGGTTTATTAAGTCAAGGTTTCTGGATATTCTGAGCCGTATTGAGTCTATAAGGCGAGTGTCAAAGTTGGTCTGTCTACTGATAAAACAAATGGTAAAAACTGGTTTTCATGATAGCTCATAGTACCCAACATTGATAGTGAGGAGGGACCTCGGATGCTCTTGTTATCTATGTGCGATTGGGATTTTACTTGATTCTTTCCTCAAAGTGTTCTCGGTGCTCCTACTTTTTTAGGCTTGTACAATTATGGAAATTAGTATTTTAGAGTTGCTAGTACTTTACTCTGACTGTTCTGTTTAGAAGACGAAGGTCAGGCAGATATGGAATCGCTCCTTGAAAACCCCAAAAGGCTTCAGGAGCAGTCAACGCGCTCGATTCCTCTTAACGTTGCAGTCCCAATGCCTCCGTCGAAGGTGACTTTGACGCCTCGAATATTGACTCCTTCGGTCACTTCTGCAGTGGGCGCAGGAGGAAATCAGCTCATTCAGGCTAATGTACCCACAGGCGCGATGCTGACAAGTCGTAGCGACAGTGCGTGGCACGACGTTGGTGTTATCAAGCAGCCGAAGTACTCGGTCTCAATGTACTCAGCGAATACAAACGACGCTGGAATCAGTGTTGAGGTAAGGTTAATGACATTTGATCTCATAGCAACATGATTAATGTTATCTAAAATGATACATTTTGATTCCTTCATCGTTCAGTGCAAACTACAAGTGCGGATAAAATGAGGTTGGTTTTCAATTCCCGTTGAAAAAGAAGACGATTTTTCTTATTACAGGCACTTGATGCCCTCCAAGGTCCCAACGGAATCGGTCCTAACGGCATTCCTCCACAAGGTCCAAAAATTGCTCTTACACCGGGTACAGCCTACAAGTTTCGTGTTGCTGGTTTGAACGCTTGTGGTCGAGGTCCCTGGTCTGAAATATCCGCCTTTAAAACCTGCTTACCAGGTTTTCCAGGTGCCCCAAGTGCCATTAAAATTACGACAAATGAACAGGGTGCCCAGCTAACATGGGAACCACCACAAAATACGGCTGGCCGTATAATCGAATATTCTGTTTATTTGGCTGTTAGATCTCAATCAGGAACCGGAAAAGAATTACAAGAAGCAAAAGTGAGTGTTAAGGGACTACTGTTTATCTTATTTTCAGTTGCGAAATTTTATGTGCATGGGGAAGTTTTAGTTATGCGCTCATTAGCTTGTACGTCCAAATATCTCCTCTTGTTGAGGATAGTAGCCTTAACTCTTCCACTATTGCCCCATTGGTTTTTAGATGGGAACAGTGCCTTCTGGTATGGCGTTCGTTCGTGTCTACGCAGGTCCGCAGCCAAGTGCTCTAGTCATGCACACAGTCCTTGCTAAGGCTCATTTAGATGTGAGCTCTAAACCTGCCGTGATTTTTCGCATCGCCGCATGCAACGAAAAGGGTTACGGCCCGGCCACACAGGTGCGCTGGCTTCAAGAGTCCCACACCTTCGGACAAGGAGTGGCACCTGGCAGCATGCCGGCCGATGCAGCCCCCGGCGGGGTATCACCGACCTCGGGGAGCTTGAAAAACACTCCGCCTCCGGAGGGTCCCCAGCCTTCTGGACCTACTGAAGGGTATTTCGATTTTATGCCGCCTTATTTCATATCTTCGTGTTTGTACGGTGTTTTACCAAACCAGTTAACCCATTTAGTTTTAGTTTAGCGCTTTAGCGAATCATTAGGAAATATTCCAGTTCGATAAAATCATGTGGCTATGTGTTGCTCGAGTTCACACTTCTGTGACGTTTGCTTGGTGATAAAGTGTCTTTTTGAACGTTATTTTAGAACCTATATATCTCCTGTGAAGCGCATTAAGAAACAAGATGACCAAACTTAGTCGATCCTATCTGACATTGCCCGCACACAGGCAACTGCGCTTGGCAGCATTTGTATCTCTCTTAGTGAACCTGTATGTATAACCCGAGCTCTATGCTCTCATCTTTCCTTCGTGTACCTGCACCCTATTCGCCTGTTCATCGGGCTGTTTGCACTTGCGCCTGTTTGTGCCAATGTTCTATTTTTAGTACCCATTATAAAGTATATATGCGGCCTATCCTCAAATTATCCACCGTGTTTGTGCACCGATAGTTACGATAGTCTTCGTGACCGCTTCCACTCCTCTATCTCCCTTCATTATTGAGGCTATGGGCATTTCCACTTAACATGATCTTATTCTTAACATTGTAAATATAAACCTTGGTATTTTCCTCTGACGGCTTTTCTGTAACATTCAACGCTTCTTACTGCTTACATTTCTCTGTCCAGCTATCAATCTGGACATGTGCCCCACAAACCCAGCCACGTGTTGCTAGGGCTAGCGCAAGCGTACTGCAACGGTCCCAGTATCGTTCTTATTTTGCTAAAGCAATTTGGAGGAAACCGGGGTAAGGCGCGCTGATGGTGTTGATTTTTCATTGGATCAGCCGTGTTGGTTTACTCAATAACTGTGGGGAAACAAGTGCTATGTACGGGTGGTGCGACTTTTCGTCGGGTCATCGATTTGTGCGAATCAAATGGGAGGGTTGGGCCCTATTTAGGGGGTGTTTTTCTAACGCTATTAGGACGTGACTGAGGTACAGGAAAATTCTTCGCCAATCTGGGCCGGTCTCACTTCTCGTCACTTCCTCGGTACTTATGAAGTTAGGCACTCCAGCCATGTCGCTGAAAAGAAACGTCTCCTTTAAAATGTTATCAATGAAACTCGTATGTGATCATTCCGGGATAATGTAGCTACTGTTCACACAGGAAGGGGAAGTTGAACTTGTTTCTTACCTCCGCTTCGGGCAAATAATTGCAACTTCTAATAGCTCTTGGAAGCGCTATAGGCAGTGATACATGGCTAACGGATACGCTTAGCCCAATTACTGCTTCCCCCAGGCACACTTGAACAAACACGGTTGAACTTACGCAGCTATTTCAAATGCGAGGCGGTAGTTCTCTGCTTTTCCTCCGGAAAGAACAGTGTTGAAATCGAAGGAATTTGGGAAAAAGTGGTGTAGAAGGGCGCACATTGCGATACCGTCCGCCCATGATGTCGAAAAGTTTTTCACCTCAACACCCTAAAAAAGGTGCATACTAATAGACTTTGGCTGAGAAGTAGTTTTGGTTAATAGCTACAATGGAATTTCCGATTTAGATATGCAGCAGACATGCTGGTACTGACTATTTAAGGGACTCTGGAAAGATGCTTCTGAGACTGCTTCCTTTTGGAATATTACCGAAAATACCGAGCTGGTAAAGCACGAGTTTATGAATTTTTGCTGGTAGCAAATAGCGTTATCAACGTTTAGCTTTTGCCATAGCTACCGAGTTTGTACCTTATGTACATTCGGTGCATCATCAATGAGAACTATGGCAAATTGACGGAGGCTAGTGCGTATCAGTTCAGCACTCCGTAATTTATCACGTTCTTGGTAAACGCAAACCAGACGAGTCCTGTGTTCGGAAAAGCTGACAGCTTACAAGCAGTGGAAATCGGGAGAACTGTGATTTGAGCAGAGTACTAGCTGAAAAGTGGTCCGTTATGTTTAGCTTAGTGTATGCGTTTTTCATATAGTCGTGTCATCCATGACATTTAGTCCTCCAGCTCCCCCAAAATGAATCCTTTAGGTGGACTTCCTATCTCCGTTCTCAGGAAGTGTTCACATTTCAAAGACGTTGATAGCTTTCGTTAGGAATGAAGTTCACCCGCAAAGAGGCATGTCACCGCTTTGGGAGGTATATCGGGGCTGAGGAGGGTCTCCCTGAACACTTTTAGGCATTTTTGCTTAAATACGCGCGTAAACATTCCCAGACATTACGCCAATCTTTCAAAATCAGCATTCTTATTTCCCTCCAATAGATTCACACTCGTAACTGGTACATCGAATGACCACGTCTCTACGTCGTTTTTTTCTCAATCACCATTTCGAATAAGGTGGACCTCATTGACAGACACACGGTATTACGAAGTGAAATGGGAAACGTTTCATTTTTCACAATAGCGTGGCCTTTAGAGTGGTTACATGGAGTAGCTAACAACAACCAAATGAACAATTTTAAATAAGACTGACATTGCATGCTGACAAAACTTCACGAAGGAAGTGCCAAAATCCGAAATTCTAGCTCTTGTATTGTATTGCTGAACTCGTAGTTAGTGGTGTAGGTTTGTGCCTACTTTCGATACGTTCTTTTTAAATGCGTTGTTAGAACTACATTTTATTTAGCTACAAAGGCAATAAACTAAATGCATAATAAATTGCACAAGATCGTACAGAACTCACATATTTCAAGTACTCGTGCGTGTTCAACTGAACGAAACGTAGTACCAAGTTTTTCATTTCTAGTAGTGTCAGGGGAGCAATCTTGTGTATTCTAAAAAACCAAATCGGAAAACACACCTCCAATTAAAGTGCATGTAAAAATGAATAAACTCATGAAACCCAAGCACAAAAGTGCGTAGGAGAATGAACAGAAGAGAAATTTGAAGCCTTTATGCTTTAGGCCTTCTCGTTGTATTTGGACACTAGCAGGTGGAAACCACTGCATCAATCAAATAGTTCTGCGTAAGGACACAAGCCTTAAATTACAGGTGGAAGATATAACATTTTCGGCAATAACGTGTTTATCAGCAAGCATTGTTTTGACGCCGAGACGTACCGGAAGTGTTCATTTAAGAATGCCACAGGGTCAGTTGCTGAAATCATTATAAAAATATTTGGTTAGTCAATTTATTGAAGTTCCCAATGTACGCAGTTATGAGCTTCCTGTTGACATTTCCTCTTTATTCTCTAGCATCCCAACCCCAGTTTCTTAAATGTAAGCGAATAACTTTAAACGGCAAATACCATTGGGAATTATGCGCATTCAAAAATGGTTCAACTATCCAAGCAGTAACTTCATTGTCACTTTCCATCAGATATTTTTCTTTTGCTTCTTGCTAGGAAAGCACATCGCATATCGTGTTTCGTACGGTTTAAATTTGACTTCACTACATCGTAATAAATTTTCTCAGAAATTGCATAGTTTGGGTGAAAATGGGTAAAAACACAATAAATGGAGGAAGAGCTAATTACAAAAAATATTTATTTGAATATGTTTGGTTTCTTTGATGATAAAAAGTATGTCGAAGAGCTCTGTACTGACCTGGAATAAGCGGCGGCGGCGGCGGCGGTATCTTGCATTTGTGATACTTAGATCAACTATGCCCATGCTTTTATAGTGGTACAGAAAATGCTTCTAAAGCACGTCTTTGAAGAAAGCAAAGCAAGTGCAGAAGCAATGTGTTGAGAAAGGCGACTCTTTTGGGTTTTTTAACATTGTTCAGTATTTTCTACCACTTGAAGTACGGAAGCAGTTTAATGTTAGTGTTGCGGGGTAAAAGGTGGAATTAAAGTATTCTAGTTCTTGAGTTTATTTCATTCTTATTCTCGCATTAACTTAAAGCTTTTGCTACTATATTAGGGAATAAGGATATTTAGAATGTATTATGTGAAAATATCTGGTAATTGATAATTAGCGATTTTCACGTGGGTCACATACGTTCATCAGAAAATTGACTGGTATTTGTTGATGCCTGAATTTCGTTCGACAAGATAGTAGATGGATTCTTCAACCGCACAGTGACACTGTCATCCTCTTCCGGATAACGTATAGCCTCTCTACAATTTCTTTCTCCTAAATGAAGCGAGAAATTGCGTTATTTGAGTAAATATATAGACACGTCTCCTACGTTTTTCGATTCATTTAGGCAAGCGGATATTTTCCTTTGTCAATCCTGAAAATAGGTATTTTTGAGCCCCAAAAAACATCAATTTGTAATACTTCTTATCTTCATACATACGGTCAGAGGGTGATTTCGTTTCCTACTAAGTGATGCTATTTTGATTTTGGGCTTTGTAATTAACATAATATAGCATAATAATCTTTATATTAGGTTTTTATATGGTTCTCTGCCGAATTTCACAACTTTGAGAATTAATGAATTGATAATAATACATATCAAGGAAGCAGAATCTTCCTGAGGGTAACACGGGGTGGTTTCGCCTTCTATCAGAAAAGACTAGCTTGTATAAGGCATTACCACGCCGAAGGAAACACTTGGAGGTGCCGGGAGATCTGATACAATTGACATTGCGGAAGATTTTACTGCGTTGCTGCTGCCATCTAGACTGAACGTCACTGCATGTCGGCTGTCGTGGAGTTAATCTCTCCGGTTGCCTCGCTATAGGGCTGAGACCACTGATCGGGCCAGTAGAGGGCATTTTTGTCTGTCGGGTCGCCTCGTGCTCTATTGCCACGCACTCCTCCTCCTGGCTGCCATTTAGTTCGCACATTCCCTTTGAACGGTAAACAGCATCGTCCTCTGAAATTTTAATACCACTTTAGGTGTGATATATGAAGTCAAAGAATATGGAAATTTTATTCGGAATCATCTTGATAACAAATAAAAATTCCATGAAAACAGTCAAAATTGCCATAGATCAGTGTTCTCATTTACAAAGTAGATGGGGAACATATTAGTTACTTATTTCAGTTGATTTGTATCATCTTGCAAAAATTTTTGAGTCTCTGCTAGGAAATAATTTCAACGAAATGCAAAAATAATTCGTTGAAAGCATGTTCCAATGAGTGAAACCAATGTTTTAAGCGCTGCGCCATCTTCGCCTTCTGGGATGCACTACTCAGTAGTTTACGCTGCTGAAGCGCTCACGGGAGTTGCTTTTGCTAACTTTTAGCACTGTCAATTTTGTCAAATTCAGCTAGGAACGTTACAAAGTGTGCCGGCTCATGCTTCAATAGATTGAATTAAAAAACTGCTTTAATTCTTAGACATTAGTGAGCTGTTTCTTTGGTATGTTATTATTTTTGTAAGGAAATTTAAGCACAAGTACAATGGTCTAGTCGTTCTACTTTGTTGTTTAAGCATCCCTTCTCCTGGGCAAGCATTTTGGTGTGTTTAAGTGCATTCCGGCGTCGGATTACCTGAATAGTGCCTATTTACCCTTGAACTTACTAACATTGTTGCTTTCTTTAGTTAACAATTGCAACTGCTTTGATATATTCATTATATTTTAATGCTTTTTAAATCATGGGCGAAGAATCTTTTCAGTTGCTTACTTCTTTCAGTGTTAGTTTGAGAGGTACCGTGATGCTAGGCTTTTATTTTGACACAAGCAACCAAGCAATTTATTTAAGCCGCGAAACTGCCAAAATTTTTCAAATAAATGGTGCATATTCCGTTGTAGGGAAAATCTAGACCCATCCTTTTGACCAAGTCGGGACCAATATTTTGTCTTACGAAACCGTTTCAGCTCTACAAAGGGGGAAGTAGGCCGACATTAACGTCATTGCGCCTCCTCGATTGCCATTATTTTTATGTGGTTTGATCGAAGGATTACTTTGATTTAACTATTGCAATCCCGAATTCACGGGTTCTCGATAGTTTAAATCCGGTCTCGCGGTTAAAGTTTGATTATTTGAGGAAATTGAGGCAGAGTGAATGCTACCAATGGACTTCGTTAACCAAACTGTTATATTCCTTATACCACTTCCACTTTGCTGAACCACGGGGATTCGCGAATTGCAGAATGCACTCGTTAAAATTCCTTGATGCTTTGCCGGTGTGGCTTGTGGATGTCTATCCCCTTCTAAAATGATAAGTAGCGCAAACTTTTTGAATATTTTGCGTTAAATTGCGCAAATTATTATCCACGTAGATTATGTAATTAGATTGAATAATCAGTCCAGTTCTTTAGTAGATTTAAATTAAAAAAATCTACGCCATTTACATCTAAAGACTGCCAAAAACTGTTTCATGTTTCTAATGAATTCCACAAATAAATATTTTTATTGATGAACCACAGTTACTAGTGGACATGAAATATAACTCAGAAAGTTACCTTGCCGATATTCGGATAAATGAATGTGGTGTTGCTGTGGTCTGTGGTCACCATTACTGGATTTGCACGATTGGTCTGTCTGCAAGGATATCTTGGCGTTTCCGGAAGATTTTCTTCTCCACGGTCGAACTGATTGTCCTTCTGACCGTTCCTGTGCATAATTAGCATCCTCCGAATATTTAAGGGACTTATCAGACTGACAATGAATACCTTGGACATTTAATGGTTTGTTTGATTCATTTTCTTCAATAAAAACAAATGGCAATGCCAGATATTTTTCATAAATAATTTGCGAGCTAAATGTGTGAGATCCAAATATGTACTGACCTGGTTTTGATACGGTACTTATCTGAAAGCGGGCCAATGCATTCATGAATCGCTCCTTCGCGGCTTTTCCCCCGTCGTCCGGCATCACAGCATCTTCATTTCGGTGCACTAATAGCGGATTTGCATCCTCAGCCGGATCTGATACTTCTTCGTTTAGGAGTTTATTTTTCGCAGCTTTGGTATCGGATATCGGAAATGTTGGGGCCCCTTTTAAGCCTTTTTTATCTGTGGCACCAAGCGATTTGCTAAATATGGGGTCACAAATGCGCGACTCCAGAACCCTCTTAATGGTCGCTTTGGCAGCCGCGGCCGCCTCTGGGCTTTGTATTTCAGTGTCCTTCGGCAAATACTTTCCTGGGCCCGAAGTCCAGGACGCGTCAGGACGGCAATTTGGCGGTGGTTTGATCGTTGCGTGCTGAGTAATGCGAGAACAGGACACTGCTTGAGTTTGTCTACAATTACGGTGAAACACATATGTTCAAGCTAACAGTTAACTAATTCTATGCCAAAAGATACTGCACTGTAGGTTTTCTACTGCCAAAGATCAGGACATATATTCGTAAAAATAGCTTTTGACCATTACCCATAACTCACTGCGTTGGTTCTTTCATAAGATCCTTAGGGGGTCTCTCAGAAATATGCACTAAATCAAGTCTCGCTGCTTCATATCTTGCTCCCTCATCATAGCACAATTCTGGGTCAGGGTTGAAGGAGATGCGTTTGTTGCCTCTTTTGTTAGCTGAGCTTTTGGAGAATGAGCCCCTGGACAAATGTGCCACCTCATTTATGAGGGGGTAGCCCTCCGCACCTACATATACGCAACGGTTGCGATGACAAGCGCAACAGCAGTTTTGGCACATCTTGTCGGCCTGTGGAGCGGCGTTGATAAAAATGACTCGGGGCTCTGCAAAACTGCGTAGGGAGAAGGCTTGGGAGTCGTGGCTCCTCCACATGCGACTACGACTACGACTCCGTGGTCTCCGTGGGCACCCAAAAGCAACGTCCACTTCCTCCAGCTGCTCGTCTTCAGGCAGGCCTGGTACGTCGCTAAGAGTGCGGAGTTCAATGTACTCCGCGGGAGTGAGGCTGACGCAGTCGCTCCGTGTAGACATAGAATGATAGCGCTGATTTCGGTCATTTGAACGCTAGGTTAGAACGTTTTCTATATATATATTTAATAAAAATCACTGTCTTTCGAAAATAATACTGAGAAGATGATACACATATGACATTTAAAAATAGCTCAAACAAATATTCTGCGATCGAGTATTCCCAAATAAAAAACTGACAAATCTGGTCTCACTGACTGAATGAATATCTGCCTAGGTATTGGGAAGGCATTTGAAAAGTGTAAATCATTGCTTTCCAGCGTATTTACTAGTAATAAGGAGGTGTGGTGCACATTTAAAAGAATGGTTATATACATTTCTTGGTGCACTCCCCCGAGTGCAGTAGTTGTCTGTTGGCAAGGTATCATCGTCATCGTGGTCTATAGCCGCATCCTCCACCTGCCTCCGCATGAAATGTGGAGGGAGTAGTGGTGGCGGTGTGGGTAGTACGGGAGGCGGCGGTGTATGGGGTGGAACTGTGCTCACTCTAAGCGCTTCCCCATGATTTAAACATGGCAAGGGTACTATACTGAAAGAGAACGCCACAGCAATTCATAGTGATGCGCAAAGGTTACGGCTAATGCTAACTCGATTACACAACTACAAAGCTGAACACGGCAGATGCGCTCAATATACTGAATGTTTCTTTATACAATGGAAAAAATGGTATTATGGGGTATACTGGTTACAACTGATTTATTACCAGTGATCTTTCAAACATCCTTTAATTTTGAAATAGTTTATAATAAATCTTTTGGTTAAAATATACCATAGGAATTAAATTTCACAGTATTTGGCCAAAAAAATGTAACGATGGTTGTGATTTGGTCACATAGCCTTTGGTATACTTCTAAGCTCACAGGATTTCATCTATGCCGTTAGCATAAATGCATCATCTCGACCAGTTAAGCATAAAGTGACATGTAGGTTCGTTAACAAGATTCACATAGAGGGAATTCAATTTATGGTGATGTATGTCGCGCATATCCTGATATTATGCCAATGACGCTTGTTGAAAACTTACCCAGAGGGAGCATACCCACATCGACTACCTCGAGGAGATACAGGTTCTTGACTTTTTGGTCTATCTTTGCGAGATTCTTGGTAGGAAGGAGCAGGAATGCTGAGCGGTTGTGGGGGGTCATTGTTATCTGATAAGACAAAGTTTTCATTAACATTGACATCATGGATCACACAGGCGCAAACTGACAATTTGATATAACAAGTTATATTCGATAAATGTTGGAAGAATTTAGTAAAAAGCAGAAGAACAATATTTTTCACTTCTAGTCGTTCAACTCTCGATGACATTGGTAAACTAATACATACCAGTGTGTATTAACGTGGTTTTTGCAATTAGCATAGCCATCTTCATAAGTCCGTTTACCAATTTTCATGCCTCAGATGCAAAGCCAAAAAGAAAATGGGTTTCTAGGTTTTTTTAAAAATACTTATGTAATGAGAAAGCACAAGCACAAGAAACCCTTAGATGTGCACTGAAACTAAAACATTTACTTATACATATATAAGTAGCGTTTCCTGTGGTACATATTTTGGCAACTAATAGACTGCACTTGGAGTGGTAAATTAAATCAATGCTGCAAAAGGCTATTTTACATCCGTTACGCATTCATTGATATTAGAATGATTGTACATGCACATACGCACTTACCATTCTGAGGTCTTTTGAGAATGATCACTTCACATTGAGTGTAGGCCATTGATGATCCACAGGACAGACGAATTTCACAAGCATAGCTGCCCGAGTATTCGGGTTTTAGACCTTTGGCGCTAAGACGTGCTGTTTTACCATCAAACGATGTGTTAAACTGTGCAAGGGGTAGTTTGTGCGAGTCATTATAGGACCAAATGATTTGGGCGCGTCTTTCCACGTGGGCCAGGCGGCATATCAAGTGCAAGTGCGGTGGTTCTCTCTGAGTTGGATCAACATAAATGATCTGATTCTCCAATGGTTGCTCAAATTCGAGCAGTTGGTCCTGAGAATGACTGCTATTAAAGCTCATCTCTAGGGAAGAAAATTAATGCCAGTGGCTATAAAATGCCAAATTATGATTAGTTCAAGGATGTCCGAGGGAGTCAGAGTCGAATGGCGCGCACTTCTAGTGCTTCAAACCTCAATTAATATCGTCAATTAAATAACGCTAGTAGAAGCAAGTGCTTTTACTTAAAAATTGAATATTTGTGGTATACAAAGATGCACAGGGCATAAACTATGGGACAGAAGCAAACCAAATAAATCGTACACTTACTATATGGACTGCTGTCAGGCAATGCATAGGTTGATGAACTAAAAATAGAAGTAGCAACTTGTAAAGTAAAACAGTAGGCAAGAATCAGCAAAAATTTTTACGCCTGGATGGCGCTTGGCGTTTATTGAAGCAAAAGTACTAATATGAGGTTCCCATAGTAGAATAAACTCAGTAAACTTCATTTGCCGAAAAGTTCATGAGTAGGTTGCAGTAATTTTCACTTGGAAGTTAATAAAGATTTGAAAAGGTTAAGCAAACGACAAAATAGGATTTATAATTAATCACATACATATATCTTGTATTTTACATTAAGAACAGTTTATTAAAGATTATTACGATCACCGCTTATGCTAAAGACAGACAAGGTTATGTGTTCGGTAAAACAGCAAAGTTTAAGAAGTGGAGTAAAAAAAGTTATTTTTCACACTTGTCTCGATAATATTTACTAGCGTACAGTTGGGCTTCATGGATAGTTTAGGGAAAATGCATTGAATTAATTGCACCGCTCTACTTCTCTTATGCACTACAATTTTTAAATGTGACTGTAATGTAGCTCCTTAAATTTGAAACAGTGGTGCAAACAACTTAACAAAAACAACGCAAAAAGTATAAAGGACAGCATCAGTTCTTGTCTAAGCATGAGAAATCATAATAAAGGATGGAAATCAAAATCCTGTAATTAAAAATTGGGGTAGCAATGAGCTTGTGCAGTAATGGCACGGATTTGTTGATACTGTCCACGGTAATTTATTTGCCTAACATAAGTTGCGCAATCAAACCGATCAAAGTAAACGTATTGTGATGAATCGACATTTGTATATGTGTACATTTGACCATGTGGGCTCCTAGTCCTCCGTTTGTGCTTTCATTGTAGCGTCCTGGGCGGGCGGCTCCGTCTGCAGCCTCCCAGCCCTTCCGCATGTTAGCATCAAATCGTCTCTCGTACTGTTATAGCTTATTACAAATTCAGGGGAGATTCGGAAAAATAAGTAGCAATCATGTAGGAATGTCATAATTAGAGTTTGGATTTCGTTCACTTTCTTAATGTAAGGATAAGGTTCTAGAGTAATTGCCTTTCGTATCACTTTGCGAATATCATAGTGAAAAAACTGTCACATTGTCCAAAATAAGTCAATTATTTTGATTTCTGAAGAAAATTTCAAGAAACAGCTGTTTTTTTCCAAATAACGGTATGTCTCAATTGATATTTCCGACTTTAATTCTCTTCCCTTCCATTAAAAAAAGGCTTAAACAAGAATTTGTTTCCAGCTGACAACACAAATTGTCGTAGAGGATTTGATTATTTCATGCGCACAAATAAAGAGCAATCGCTAGTAGTACCCCCAGCACTTCTGGTGCATGATTTGGCTCACTGCATCCCGCAAAATGGAATAGGGGAGAGGGGGTGATGAATGATAGAATGTGAAACGCTGACATAAAATCTTGGTTTTCCATCCGAAAATTATTCATTTATGCACTTGCACGGTAGGCCTAAACTTCATATCATGATTGAATGGGGGATTAGAGTAAATATTATATGATATTCTCAGCCAGTCGCGAGTAACTAGATTCGACAGAGTTAAAATAAGAAAGGCTGTCTTAGATGGCAAACGCTATTCCCTCGAATTTCCAACTACCTTTTAGACACACGCTAATGAGGTTTTGCCTTGCGAATCAAAGTCGGGCTAGCTCACAAAAGGTTGCTTTATTTCGAAATACCAGCAAAATAGGTAGGATGCAGCCGTGTTATTATGCAGACGTACGAAAAATCCCGCAGAGACTATTTGCGGCTCAAATGTTCTCAAAATTCTCTGATTAAATTTTTTCGATTAAAAAGTAAATAAAGACCAGGAGGACTCGCTTGCAATTTAAAACGTGCAGGATTGATTAAACCTAATAACGCAGCTTTTTTTTAATGACTGCAAATTGTTCTGCTCAAAAACCTCATGAAGTTGAAACACCGCCTTCTCTTTGCCTAATTGTAGTAATTACTTTACTCGTGCGACAGCAACAGAAATTTATGGAATGATGTTGTTGCAAAAATGAATCTCACTTCATTAATCATATCGCAAAGTTGTTTATTTACTGCAAATTCATAAGCGGTGTCACAGCTTTTGGCTAACATTTGATGCATGGAGTCTTAAGGGTAGACTTAATGAGTGGTTTTAAGAAATGTTTATCCATTTTGCTTAGCCTTGTTTCAATCATGTTAACGGACTGGGATTTTTATCACTCCCATAAATTCGTAAAATATGTTGTAGAAAGACCGTTTTTTGTGAAATGCTGCTCCAAGCACATGGTTATTGTGCAAAACAAGCCCCTATGAGCATTACAAGGTCAGGCACAACAAGATTAATGGTATACTGATCACTTAATCCCAGTATTCCCTGTTTTTGATGATCTTCTAAGGGGAAATCAGAATACTAAGTGAGTAGTTTCCTAAAAAAGTGAATGCTATTTTTACGAATACGATCAATTATGGGATACAATAGCACAAAAGTTTCATTCAAGTCCTGAAAAGTACTGTAATTCTGCTCTTTTAATGAAAAAGGGAAATTTTCAAACAAGTTTTTCTTATCATCACAGGTTTAATTACCGTTTATGCAGTATCCTCTACCATCTCAAGGGTAGGAGGACTTGCCAGTTGTTTGAGGGCATAATTTGAGTCTTATCTTAAATGGAAATGCAAATACCTTATCGCTTAT